TCTATGAATTGGCTTCATTATTCTGCTTTCCTCCCAACGTTCTGGCGCCAGGTCCAGGTGGATGCTGCACATTGGTGGTGGTGGAGGGGAGTCCCCATTACCTGTAAAGTGCTTTGAGTGGAGTCCAGATTATTATTATTAATTATAAATGCACCTTGCATCTTAACTTCACCTCCAGTCCATTTCTATCCATATATACAAATATGAAATTGATTAAAACTGACCTATGTGAGACCGCACAGGTTCTAAAAATAATAAAGGTTTTGATAGTTTCTGTCTCTGGGCGTGGTGCTTGAGATACAGTATCTCCTTACTGAAACCAATTTTATATTTTATATATAACTCTTCACGTAGCTTCCCATAACATTAAGACACTTTTTTAATGTTTAACCTTCACCTGCCATCATCTTCCAGGATCTTGCCATCACTGTAGGGACACTTCCTCAAATTGTGTCCTCGTGTGGATAGTAGTACCCATACACACATTCACACACCGCATGGCAGAGCTGTGTCTGGCTGTATAAAACACCTTCAGCTAAATGCTCCCTTCCTTCCTGTCCTTTTAAGATCCCGGAGATGCAAGTTATCGCAGGAAGCAGGGCAGCACTTTGAGCTCCTTGCTCTGCTCAAGGGGCGAGGAGCTGTATTACTGCTGATGGTGCTTTCGATACTCCAGGCTGTTGCTCAGACAGCTGTGGCATCCTGCTGGGCTCCGAGGGCTTCAGTGCCACCGCTGCGTCAGTCCTGGCGTTTCGTCACTAACACGGGCTTCGCCTTAGCTCCTACGTCTTTAACCTCTGATCCAAGCCCCGGCTCTGTTCTCTGTCTGCCTGCCCGTCCTCATCGCTGCCAGATTTTGTTCAGCAGCGCCTGCCATCACAGTGCGCTAGTCCACTGTAGTGCCATCTGTCTGCCTGGAAGAACATCACACCAGGGACTCTGTCAGCGCATCAACCAATTTCTGCCATTAAAGAGCTAACAGCCAGGTCTCGGATGCTGCACTGGCCTGGTCTGCGGCAGTCAGGCAAAAAGTTTTATTCAGATGTTCGCACATTGTAAGACTAGAGACTGTGCAGACTCTCCACATTCCAGCTGAGACATAACCTATTATGTTTCAGGGGGGACAGTTATTACCGCAACACCAGCCTGTCCTTTTCTCTCCCTTGTGGTGTACCAGGATGAAATAATGAAATTGGTTGGAATGCAATCCCTTTCTTACATCTCTCTCACCTGAGGACAAGTATAAAGAACAATCTGTTTTATATAGTATATGTGTATAAATTCAAGCACAAGTGGATCACTAGAGGGAGATAATTTAAAGGGGTTTTCTTAATTCTTTGGCTGTTAGTTTCTCAAACAGTGCTGTTATCTTTTTGCAGTAGGAAATCTTCTTTCCACCTTTTTTTAAACTAATGATTCTTTTTCTCCTCTTTAATAACCTAGTTCATTTCTTTTCATTGCAGAAAAGCAAAATGCGCAAGGTCTTTGTGCCGTCTGTCTTTTTAACAGCTGAATGCTTAATAGTGGTCTTTGTTGCTAGGCTCGTTCTGTGTAATTAATATTTATGTATGTGGTCAGAAATGGGTAAACAATTGGATCCAAGTTCCTTGCTCTTGAATAACTTACAAGCATCATGCCACATGCCTTGGTGGCCACATTCAGGTCTGAGTTTTCATTTTAAACGCTTTGAGAAGCCACCTTTAAAGGCGCTATATAAAATAAAGTGTATTATTATTATTATATTTAAAAAACAGTACGTACTCACAGCTGCAAAAGCCAGAAGGCTCAGGATAGCAGCTGGCAGAAGTCGCGTCTGTGCCATTTTGAACCGATGAGGTTTTTTTTTTGCTGTGAGCACATCACGGGTGCGTTGATGTCCTGGGACCCTGTTGAGACTGTGCTGTTCCTGCCTGTCCAGGCATGTGAGCAGCAGTGACCGGGTGGGAAAGCCGTACCGCGGGGTCAAGCCTGTGTTCAGCATCGGGGACGAGGAGGAGTACGACACTGGTAATCACAATCTTACTTAATTAAGAGAAAACAGGGATCTTCAGTGCCTTTCTGTTGTTACTGTGATCTATTTTTGTCGTCTTAAAAAGTTGAGGAGCCTATCCCAGGAATCCTGTGTGGAGTTGAAAACAGGATTGGAGCTGATAAGCAATGTTCCCTATGCTTTTTAATGTCCTGTGTGTGCAAAAATTTCAAATTTCAAATTCAAATTTCACATTTTTTCCCCCAGTGACAAGAACTTGTGCGCACTAAATTGTGTGTGTAAAATTGTAAACCTGAAATTATTTTTTGTTAATATAGTCATTCATATAGAAAAATAGAGATCTAAAAGACCGGGACAGCGATTGAACAGGCCCAGTCATAGAGACTGAGTGTCAAGCAAATATGAGCAGTGAGGTACGAGGCTACGAGAGCATAGATATCGATTATCGAGTAGCAATAATAATGCACACAGCCAAGTTGGGCCTCTCGCACCCAGTCTCCATGTGGTCAATTTAGCATTTTTCAATTGCCGACCGTGTTTGTTTTATTATCATCATATTTTTTTTGTGCGCCATTCTATTTCCTGTGTGCGCTGATTTCATGACCTGTGTGTGCGCCCACATGTGCACAGCTTAGAGGGAACATTGCTGATACTTTTAAATTGAGTGGGCTTTTGCAACTTCAGGGGCTTCAGCCGGTTGCCAATTCTTTGTCATGCCGCAGATGAGATCGACAGCTCCTCCATGTCGGATGACGACAGGAAGGAGATTGTGAACATCCAGACCTGGATAAACAAGCCGGACATCAAATACCACGTGCCCTGCAGCGAGGTGAAGGAGACGGGACACATGTTCCCCAGGTGAGACGGGCGCGCGCGTGCAGGCAGCGCATGTCAGTCCACGTTCGCGGCCATGTGATCTGACACAGTGGGCTCTCAGACTCGGTTCCTGGAGGGCCTCCTGTCTTCTGGGTATTGTTCCATCCTAGATCTGTTCCCCAGCTGCACTAACTAAATGCATAATTATATGAGTCCTGAAGGTGTTTTAGAATGGACTGTACGTTTACTGAGTGATTAACTGTAATACTTAAGAAATATCCTGTAGATGTCTAAGAAAACCATTAGGTTAACTAGAAAAACCTAAGAATCTGAACCTATTTTAGAACAACCTATAAAAGGCAACACCTGGTAGGAACTGAGTATGAGACACATTGAGGTAGCGCTTTTCAAGTAATTACCTTGAACACGTTTGTACCGATTCAAATCTGAGCACGGCATAGAGAGACATTAGAGCCAATCCTGTCAGGGCAGGGCACAAAGGTGGGGTTGGCACAGTGAAATGGGATAGAGATTTAGGTTGAGATCCTGCTGTTTCAAGCCACATGGTAAAATTGTCTAAATCTCCGTTTGTTAGGGTTATACTGACATTTAAAAGTTGGACTATACATGCAATACCCATGCAATGGAAGATTAGTAACTGTTTTTAATTATTTTAACTAAATTTTTGGTCATCAGTTTTTTTTTCTGTGAAAGCATAATGTTTGAAAGAGCTGTGCTTTTTTCTACCTTACTGGTCCACGTCCACTTTGTGTGTGTGTGTGCGTGCAGTCATCTCCTGGTGACGGCGACACACATGTACTGCCTGCGCGAGATCGCCTCCCGGAAGGACTTTGCCTACATCCAGTCCCGACAGGCGCTGAACTCCGTGGTCAAGATCACCTCCAAGAAGAAACACCCCGAGCTCATCACCTTCAAATTCGGGAACAGCAACTCCGCGGGCGTGGAGGTGCTGGCAGTGGAGAGGTAACCCTGCTCCGTCTGCAGAAACCGCCAGAGCACACGGGGAGGGCGGGGGGGGCTACCATGCAGGTTTTGGTTTGAATAACTGGCACAAATTAGACTGTTTGTCCTAGGCTTTCCATAAGGATCAAAATCCTTTTTATGCTTACTGTTGTGGTTACAGACTAACCTTTTTGCCACTCAACTAGTGTGCTCGGTTCCTTAACTTCAGAGTCCAAGGGGCTTCAGGAGTGACTGCTTGTTGCTTCTCATGAGATGCAAGCACTAGTGTGAGAAACGGGCGATTGTGCATGAGCCTGCATACCCAACAAGGGAGTGCTTTGCTCTGAGGGTTTCCTTGGTACCGGGGCACGAACAGTTCAGTGTAACCTCAAGCGTCGTGGTCCTGCCTCTGGCTGGGAGTGTAACTCTCTCCCTGGTTCTGGCCTGTTTTGTAGACGGCTGCACTTCAAGGCTCCTGTAATGTCCCCTCACCCTCTGTGCTGTGTGCTCTGTCCCTCCCAGGTACTTGATACCCAACGCCGGGGACGCCACCAAAGCCATCAAGCAGCAGATCATGAAGGTGCTGGACGCCCTGGAGAGCTGATAGCAGTAGGGCCCTGGCGGAGAGGAGGATAGCGCCACCAACCTGCAGGAGTGAGGAACTGAGAGGGGTCCGTGTCCGCAGGGGAAAGGGGAGCTCAGCTCTCTGGACTGATTAAAAAAAAAAGAAAGAAACGGTGTTGTCTTCTCCTTGTGTGCCAGCACGGCGAGCTCCGAGAGATCCCGAGCACTATAGGAGAGCAAGACGACTCCCGGGAAGAGAGCGCTCGAGATTCTAAATTATGATAATTCAATAATTCTTCACGGTTTAATTTTCTTTGGATCTTAAGAAAAAAGATTTAAAAGATGCAGTGTATTATTATAGCTCCTCTTACCTTCTGTTTCTAGTGTTGACCTCTAGCCTTAATGAGAACAGGTGCAAAACAGTTTGTGAGCACTCCAGTCCAAGCTAGGACAGTTGTTCAGTGAGGAGCTCTGCGAAACACTTGGTTGGATATTTGATCACTGAAAATTGACTAGTTTTTGTTTTTAACAACCAGCAATCTTTTCATTTGACTAACCTGCTTGAATTTCACAGAGATTTCTTTTTCTTAACCATTGCTGGACAAGTACTAGAGAGCGCAGGAGTCACTGGGAGAACAGGCCCTCTCTGCTGCTTTGGGATCCTGAATGAGTGAGTTCTACTCCAGTGTTTAGGCAGTGCCAGTGTACATGAGAACCCTGTGCCGTTTCTGTAGTGGTGATTAAGTCACTCTTCATTCGATTGACGGATCTAGGGAAAGACTAACTGTCCAGTTTGCTCAGGCCAGCTCCTGTGTACACATGCTTGTAAATGAAATATGATAAAGTTCTGATTCCTTGTTAAATCATTTTGATACCTGTCCTTATAAGCTTCTAGCCTTAACCCATACCTTGCTGTGAATTTAGGTGAAACCCTATAAATATTTACTGTATATATTTTACACTTGTGTTAACTCTAAACCACAAACACCAGACCTGGAAGAAGTGCATTCTGGGAAGAAACAAATTTCCAGTTGAGAACTCCCACACAAGGAAGGGGACCGATGTGGGATTGACAGGATATTGTGGGCACCCACCATGAACTCAAGACTATCTCCCTTCCTGTGTCCGGCTTCAGTCTCGCCATCCTCATCCCAGTCTTGGCTCCAGATTTTAAATTTCTGGAGCTCTCCATGGGCACAGAAGGGGACCCCAGGGGTTTCTGCCGCTCTGCTCTGGCAAGAAAAGAAAGCCTCCACCCCTGCCTGCAGCTGACAGGCCTCAAGTGAATTTAAGTGTAACAATATAAATATTTACTGTATATATTTTACACGTGTTAACTACAAATCACAAACAATAGATCTGGAAGAGTGGATGTGACCGCACCACCATAAATCTAAACAGCAGGTGTGATGACAGGGAAGCATGATTTTATTTGTTAAACCAGTTCTTAAAATCTTCCTTCCCTGCAGTCTGTATACGAATTTCAGTGCACTGTAGCAGTTCCCTACGTGGACAAGCGGGGACAAGCAGTTAAATCTACAGACCTGTATAGTGTGCAAACACTGGCGTGGGGGGAGAGGAGACACAGGTGTTCATGGATAACTCATGGGGAATATTTTGTTTTCCTCCCACAACTATTTTCAAATAACCCTCATTAATAGGCTTCAGCTTTTCCTATCTGTAAAAATTTGTAGTCATTGTTTTGTGTAAACTGCACCTTAAAGTTGTTTTTGTTTTTTAGGGGGGGGAACCCTCTGTTGTACTTTAATAAATCTACAAAGCAAACTCTGGCCCTGGCTCTTGTTTTCAAACCACACTGCTGCGGTGTGTCGAGACGGGAAGTTGTTCCTCTTCCCCCTTCATTACAAGCGTCCGCGCCTCGCTGCCGTTAACAGGGGTGATGCCTGTGGTGGTGAAAACATGAGACAAAAAGAGGTTTGGGAAAGTGTTTCAAGGGGAAAAAAGTATGCACTTCCTTTAAATATATAATCTTGTTCAGTGCTGTTCATAGGACCTACAGTTCCACTGGTGCTATAGGAGGTAAGATTTAACACTTTAAGTTTTGTTTACCTCATTGTACATGAACACTGGTTTGTCTGTTAAAAACACTAAGGTGCTTTTCCCCAGAGATGGGAGTGTATTCATTTCCCCATGATGCATCTCTCTACATGAAGCACAAGGCCTCAAGTCAACCTGGCTCCTGTTGAGGACATGAGGAAAACTGGTGAGCAGTGCATGCTCAGATTAGGCTCAGGAAGTGGTGAAATGCAAATGAAAACAAAGAAAGGAGTTTGCCAAGGTTTGGAGAACCACTGTCTGGCAGTAGTTATTCACCCTCATGTCAACTTCAACACTCATTTCATTTTGGTGAAAGGAGTAGAGGGGTTGAAGGTGCTTAGGGCCATGTACAAATACACGTTTCAGTTCTCATAGCAGAGCAAAACCAATATCTCCGCTCTTTATAAAAGAGCTTCCTCCCTGTCCTATCCAAAGCACTACCTCTAAATGAGCAATCATACACTGTTAAATCAGGTCTGGAATAGTAATCAGCCTTTTGCCTTTACCAAGTATGGCCTTGCAGCAAATGCTGGCATTAGTGTCTGCTCTGTTCTGTGGTTGGTGGTGTAATATTAGAACACCCTGCGTGCATTAGAACAAATGCATTGTATTAAGCTTGTTTAGTTAAATGTGGTAGGGCACAGATTCCTAATGGAGTGGGTCATTTCCAAGTACCAATTCGCAAAAACGGCCTGTGAATGTTTAGAGGGTTATTGTTCGAGCAGCAGAGCAGTGGCACTGTGGCCAAAGATCTGCACCTGTGGCTGGTTCAAATCTCGCTGTCAGCAGAAGAATCCTACTCCCTTGCAATCCTGAGCAAGGCCCTTAACCCCAGCTGCTTTAGGGGTGCTGTCCAATGGCTGACCTTGCACTCTGACCCCAAGCTTCTCTCTCCCTGCCCGTGTGTCTCAGGGAGAGCGAGCTGGGAGTATGTGAATAGATGAATTCCTAATGCAAGAAGTTGTATAGGGATAATAGTGATCTTCAGCTCTAAAGGTGATCATAAGCCTCCAGCTTAAACTACTCCTGGACAGGGCAGAGATAGATACCCAGCAACTACATTAGGGTATTACCCTAGTTATAGCACAAAAACCTTGAGCCACTAGTCTCCACACAGTCCAAGATCTTTTAATTTTCTGAGTTGTTAATGGGCTATGTTCCAAATATCAATTAAACTCAAGCAGAGCAAGTACAAAGGGGTAAGAAGTGATTACTCTAGCCTGTAATAAAATTTAATCCCCCCCAATAACAGTACATTAAACCACACAGCTTATACATGGAGATGCAGTGCTTTATTTTTCTTTAAAAAAAAAGAAAGCCCTTTTTCCTTGAACTTAATTCGGGAAGCTGAGACCCAAGACAAGCATGTGAATCGATGAGCCGTTACGGCTGTGTCCTTTTAAATCTCCCCCAGTTAACCAGCAAAGTCCCAGTCCAGGCCGGACGGAGCAGGGAACCACATACTGACCGCCGATTTCCGAAAGAAGGGGTATCCCAGGCACGAAAAAAAAAAAAACAGACTCGCCTTCTGGCAAAAAGTCCAATAGCTAGACCGCGGAGAGGCGGGAGTAGCAAAAGAACATAACTGCGCTCGATTTAAACGAATTGCTCAGCTACTATTAAATTGACGTGGAGAGCTCCGCACAGGAGAGAGAGAGAGAGCGCTTTCCGAGTTGAGACTAAGAAACGATACCCACAGATTTCCGCTCAGAATACACACCGTCTTTGAGTTGCATTTCAGGGACAGTCTATCAAATCCACCCGGTCTAAACCCAGTCATCAGTCTGGCCGGGAACTTCACTATCAGCCGATGACAGTCAATTCAAAGTGCGGCCACCTTCAGCGGCACCAAATATCCTACGCCAGTCCAGACGCGGTTGGAGAAAGGTCTCTATTTGGAGCTGGTGTACTTGGTGACGGCCTTGGTGCCCTCGGACACGGCGTGCTTAGCCAGCTCTCCGGGCAGCAGCAGGCGCACGGCGGTCTGCACCTCCCGGGACGTGATGGTGGACCTTTTGTTGTAATGAGCCAGGCGGGACGCCTCGGCGGCCAGGCGCTCGAAGATGTCGTTGACGAAGGAGTTCATGATGCTCATGGCCTTGGAGGAAATCCCGGTGTCCGGGTGCACCTGCTTCAGGACTTTGTAGATGTAGATAGCATAACTCTCCTTCCTGCGTCCCTTTCGGCCTTTACCTCCTTTCTTCCCAATTTTAGTCACGGCTTTCTTCGAGCCTTTCTTTGGCACCGGCAGCTTGGCAGGGTCAGGCATCTTTCGCATTCAAGACAACACAGTATCTTTCCTCGCCTGCGATGCAGCTACATAGTGACGCTGCAGGTGCGGCTCCTCTTTTATTAGGGCCTGGATGCAAATTAGGTATTGATGGACGGGAGGCCAGTTTCCCATTGGTGAGCAATGAGTGTGTGTTAGCCAATGAGAATCGCCTCCTCTCATTCTATGAATGAACGGCTACGAAGATCTGTGTGTAGATGGCAGACCAGTCAGAAAAAGACTGAGGGTTTAAATTAGAACGTGGGAACTGTTTGGTAAATATCTACATATGTCAATTCTATAAATAGAACTATTACGGTACTCTCTTATAGTTAATATTAAAGATGGCGTACCTTAATTCTAATTAAAACATCTTAATTGGTTAGAATATTCAGACTTTTTAAAACGATATAATTTACCATTTATGTTCTGTTGTCTTGATTTCTCCGCTGGTAAGTACCCGTTGAAGCTATCGGTAGCAGCGGCCTAAACTGGATATTCTGGTGATTGTTATTACAGCAGGTTGTTTCAGGGACGCGTCAACTACAACACCCAGAAGGCTTTGCAGTCGCGGCGTACCGACTTCCTCTCCAGAGTCGGTGGAGTTCAAGTGTGTTGCAACAGATAATTCAGTGTTATGTCTACTTTAGCGAAAGCAATGACGGGTAAGTATGTTATCCTTGATCGATTTAAGAAATACTTTAAATGTGGGCAGCATATAAACCCACGTTAATATGGGTGGATTGCCGTAAAGCTTTGACAACTGTAGAACAGTAAAATCCAGTCCTCAGGTTGCAATGCAGAAGAGTTCTGTGAAGCATACTAATATTCTGATGTTATATTTATCTGTCTTTCACTGGTTGTTGTGGTTTTGATAAAGTGATCGTGAATCAGCATTTTAATAATTTCCTCTTGGTATTCTGACGTTTACACTGGGACTTTCCGATATCCTGCTCTGTCACAATTTCAGAAACCAAAATCCTTAGACGCCTTCTTTCGGTTACTGTATCTGTCCGTCGCTATTTAAGCAGTTGGCCGCGGACTGTCCGTCTGATTCTCAACCCAGGCTGTAGGGGTCAGTGGCAGAGGACAGAGCTAGTGTCTGTGACTAGAGTCCATTACTGGCAGAGCCCACTTCTCCTCTCATAGGCTCAGTGTCCCTTCAGTGATCAGAGGGACAGATTATTGTTTGTCCAGCACCCAGGTTTAACAGACCCGTGATCCCTAATCTGGTTAACCTCTGTACTCACTGGTCAGTGTGTTTCTTCACGCAGTGCTGAGCTCAGTCTGTTGTAACTGTTTCTGCTACAGAGCTGCTGGACAGAACTACCTCAGTCCCTGCGCCTGCTGTTAAACGCATGTTTTTAAACATGTGGTAGTATTCTCAAGGATTTTCGGTGTGTCTTTTGAAGTATTTACTAGTTCTATGTACACATTCCTTTATTAATGGTGTTGTTAGGCTGTTATTTTATATTGTACATTTTGTACATTGCAGGATTGCTGAGCTCTTTTCCTTAAAGCCAATGGTTCTTTCAGGTTCAATCCTTCCGAGCTGTTAATCATCTAGCTGAGCTACACACAGGGCTAATTGGAATCATTTTGACAGCTTGCATGGATGGTGCCCCTAAAACAATGAATTAAACCCCTCTGATGTAAAAAATGCAGTATGTACTAAAATTTATTATTGGGGCAAATCAAATACACCTAAACTCCCTCTACAACCAGAGAGTTTAAAAGGAGGTGAAGTGCATTATGGAGTGTGTGGAATTAATACTCCTCTCATCGGTACTACAGGTGTAACGGTAACAGACTCAGGAAATCTTTCATCCCTTCTGCAATCTAACTGTCAAACAATGCAAAGTAAATCTCCTAAATCACCTGAAACACTGCTGTACTGTCTTCTTTGGTGTACTGTTGTGTTGGACTGTTGGTGTATAGTTTGAATTGAATTGAACAGTGTCTGGCCAAGATCCACCGTATCCTGGGAAGAGTATGTTGGCAAGCTTTCCTGAGTGTTCGGGAGTGTTCGGGAGTGTTCGGGAGTGTTCGGGAGTGTTGTGGAATGTTCTGGAATGTTATAGAGTGTTCCGGAGTGCGGGAGGTGAAGGCAGTGCTCCAGAGGGCCTGCATTCATAGGGCTGTGGTCTCGTGCAGCATTCCGGTTGGCTCTGGTGCAGCTCCGCGTGTCCACCACAAAGACGGACAACCTGAACCGGGCGTGCGGACTCATCAAGGAGGCAGCAGGGCAAGGGGCAAAGGTCGTGACCCTTCCCGTGAGTATGGTGCTCCAGCCCTCCTGATCATTCCAGGAGAGCAGCTTGACACGAGGTGTCTCTTGTCATTTTCACAGGATGGATGCAGCTTGAGCCTCATGTTCAGATCACTGGACTGGAAATAGGGATGGATTTTATTGTCATGGCAGGGCAGTGAGTTTACTGCTGTTTAAAGAAAGTGAGAAAACGTTTGTCTAATGGGGTTGACTAACCTTAGGGTTCAGAGATATTTACTGAGGTTTTTAATTTTAATTTTAAAAGTCCTCAGGTTCAAATAGTACAGCAAAGTTTTAATGTTATCCTACCCACAATCAATCATTGGCCCTCACATACTAAGTATGTGAGTGGGGATGTACTGTCAATAAACGGCAGAAAACACATATATAAAGCAGGAGGAGCTGCTGGACACTCGAGTAGTGTGGGCTTGTATTCTGCAGATCCTTTCCTATGGCACCCAGTTGACTGACACATACAGTACGGTCACTGTATGTCTTTCTGACGGGATATTTTCACAATATCCATCTATCCACTTTCTACTTGCTTCTGCCAATTCAGGGCCGAGGGGGAGCCAGAGTGTAATCTAGGGAACAACAGGTGCAAGACAGGGTACACCCTGGACGTGACGCCAGTCCATCTTAGGGCACACACAGACACACACATTCACACCAGGGCCAGATTTTCCAGAAACCAATTTACCTGCCAGTATATCTTTGGACCGTGGGAGGAAACCCACACAAACAAGGAGGGGACCTACAAATTGCATGTACTGAGCGCTCTAGGTCAAAAATTAAACTCAGGGCCCTGGTGCTCTGAGACTGCAGTTCTAACCACTGCACAGTTGTGCCTATTCCCAGTATCTGTGCAGCATATTGTTGTGTAATCTTCTAAGGCAAATCATGAAAATACTGTTTTTAACATGAACCTTGTTTCGCAAACTCCAGATGAGCAGGTCCAGAGAGGACTAACCTCTGTACTGGAAATGTTCGGTGTCAGCCCCTGTTCTGACTGATTAAACGCAGCTGTGCACTCGTGTATTACCTAGTCTCAGAATGATGTTACAGTACGTTTCTTTCAAAGGAAACCCTGTTCAAACTCAGATGTAATCCCCCATCTCCCTGTTAACCTCAGGCTTCTCAGATGCAGAAGACATAGATTGATCCCAGGTTCACAGGTTCACAGAGTCTTACAGGAGAGTTAGTGCTAATTGGAGGAGAGGTGTGTCTCTCGGTGATGTCACTGCTAGTCTGCAGGCTCCAGGTGGGTCCAAAGAGTCACTTTAGCAGTGAAAGCCAAGAGAACTCTGACCAATCCACCATTTGCTGCTCTTAGCCATTGTGTTGGGCCACAGCCAGATAATTACGTGACCCAGGCTTTGCCCAGAGGTAATTGACTCCCACTGGGAAAGTGTGGGTCTGCTGGTTTGATAAACCTGGCTTGGGCTCTAAAATATCTAGGCAGGGCAGAAGTTGTCATTGTGGATGTTGAACAAGCCCGTCTGTGACAGTTGCCATGCAGTAGGTTTTATTCCTTTTGCCCTTTGTGGGGAAGGATGTGCTCTCTTGCCCTCTTTAGGACTATGACTGAATACGTTGAGAGGCTTTAAAAAATGCGCCAAATGTTATTGCTTCCTGTGACCCCTAGTTGATTTGTAAATGTCTTCCAGTATAAGAGTGCAAAAGCATTGGAAACAACTCTAATTTTGTAGCGTCGGATTAAAAAGTCACACAGTGCAGTGTAGGCAGGCTGTACTTTAACTGAGAGATTGTTATATTAATTGAAGTTTCTCTCTTCCTGACTGGACACGTAGGAGTGCTTCAACTCTCCATATGGCACAGGATACTTCCCCCAGTACGCTGAGCCAATCCCTGGGGACTCCACAAAGATGTTGTCAGAGGCAGCGAAGGAAAATGGCGTTTATCTGATCGGAGGTGAGACGTCCGATCTCTCTCAGCTGTCATCTTCATGACTGTATGTTCAAGAACAAAAGTAAGTTCTGAAACAATATGTAGTAGCTACATTGATCCAAGGATGACATCCAGACATTTCTTGATAGATGGCCAGGTATCAGATTCAACAGCTGTCCTCATGGCATCTCCTGCATTAGGCTCTTGAGAAAGTTTTCACTCCAGATGTTATTTAGATATAACAGGGAAAACCATGATGCATGCATCTGATATTCAGGTTGTTACCACCATAAATACCACAGTGCAGAAATAAGAAGAAAGATTATTTCTAAAATTTAGTGCCAAGTAATTTTCAGTTGTGCACTGCAAAGACTCAGTGATGAAAATGCACTACCCATATAGCCAACAAACAGCTAAACCTTGTTTTAATCAGTAACCAGCAGAAAACAGAGGTC